TACTATCTTTTTCTTCTTTGTATTCCTATTCATACCCATGATTACTGATATTTTAGTATACTGTTAGTGTCCCTTTACTCCCTAAAATGAGTACTTAAGAGGTGATTATTTTATAATTAATTATTACTGTATTTTTATAGTGGGTTTATACCTGGAAAATGAAAAAAAAGTATTCTACTCTCAGGGAAAGACTGGGAACAGAGTATGGTTCCCTAAACACAAACCTAACAAAATGGGAAATGACACCTCAATTCCTACTGCAACCCAATCCCTCCTGAACATTAGAAACAGAGGGCCGAAGAAAAATCCCTTAAAATGACCTAACTCATGTCTCAGTGTAAAAACAAAAGATAAGTGATAAACCAAGGCAACATATCTCCTCCAAACATTACCAGTCCTACAGTAATGACCCCCAACAAGAATGGCTTAAATGAGTTTTCAGACAGAGAGTTCAAAAGAATGCTTATACTGTGTTCACAGAGGACATAAACGGAAAGACAGCTAAGTGGTTAAGACCACTTCCTGATCTTGTCAATGACCGAAGTTCAGTTCCCAGCTCTCCAATGGCCATGTATAACTCCAGTCCAAGGAAGCTGATGACCTCTTCCAGCCTCTGAGGGTACTAGGCACACATATGGTACACTTACGTGCATGCAGGCAAAATACTAATATCCATAAAATTTTAGAAAATGGACTAAAAAGACAGCTCAGAAATTAAGAGCACTTACTGTTCTTGTAGAGGACCCAGGCTCGGTACCTAGCACCCACATAGTAGCTAACAAGCATTTGTAATTTCAAGTCCAGAGGATCTGATACCCTCTTCTGGCCTCTATAGATACTGCATCCATGTGGTACATAGATAAAAATAAATAAATCTTGAATTTTTTTTTTTTTAAAAGAGGATACTTTTTTATCCAGCAAGCTCCTGGATAAATTCCAACAGATATAGGGTGAAAGGAAGTGTGTTTGGTCTTTGTGCGCCACACGGACATGCAAGATCCCCACTGCTCTACGAAGTAATAAATATGAAGGCAGCACTTTAACATCCCCCAAGCTCACTAAGAAATGGCCTGGTTCCTTACCCCATGCTAATTTGGGCTCTCCTCCAGCAAGAAACAGTCGCTTCGCCTTCTTGATATTCTGAGGGAAATTTGGTAATTGCCACTTGGTTCTGCTGATCTTTATGTACCACAATGTCGTGACTCAACATCATAATTTCAGAATACGTGTGCTATTTATACAATTCTTTTTTTTAGGCAGGTGAGAAAAAAATAACTTCTGGGCATAAATTTAATCTAGCAGTATTCTGTTCAAAAGGAACAATGTCATGGTTTGGGAGCTTGTTTTAGGGACCCCACTGAGAAATGGCAATTCAATTTTAAATATAGTGTGATACTCCAATCTCCTTTATTTTCATATGCAAATATTAGCCTTCTCAGTCTACTTAGAAATGCGTATGATGTTATCAGTTGCATTATACCCATGCAGCAGTACGTGTTTGTCACAAGACATTTTTATGTGGATGCCTTAAAGTGACACTGACCTGTAAATCAGTCCTGTGCTTGAAGACATGCTCCTAGAGGAGGTAGTCTCTTCTGGAGAGCTCACTTACGCCTTCTGTCCTAGAGGCAGCTTGTGTTTCTTAGGTACCTGATTGATTTTAGGCCTCTTCTTTCACTGCAGAGGCATTTGGAATGCTACCTGCTCAAAAATGGTCAAAGTGCCTTTTTCTCCAGGGGCATAAACCTGCCTTGTTTGCCCTTTACTACGGACGTCTGCTGAAAGTCTCATTTGGATAGTGCCTAGATTTGTCCTTTATGTGCATCCACTGAAGATGAGGGTGTGCAAAATATTTACACTTGATAACTGTAAATACAAGCTTTTTCTGGGGGGATGTGTGGTTGGGGATGTCACAAGCTATCTTCAGAACATTCTCCTCTGTTTTATTCGTTTGTTTTGTTTGAGACAGAACTATGTAGCCCTGGCTGGGCAGGAGCTCGCCCTGCAGACCAGGCTGGTTTTGAACTCAGAGCTCCTGCTGCCTTTGCCTCCCAGAAATTTAAACCAGGTAAACGCATATTCTTCTTTTTTGTATCTATATGATTCCTTCCCTTTCTCTGAGGCCCTGCTCACCAAGATTGCATCAGCTTCTCCATAGGCTCTTTTCTGACCCCTGAGCGGCTCTGTCTCATCACTTTGGTTTTCTCCCTCAGATTTTGTGGCTGGCCCAGTTTGCAGGGCTATTTAACCTCTTCTGTTTCTATGTCATGTTTCTTCAACTGCTTTGGATGTTTTTGAAGATCACAGACCATGCGTAATCAGTCCTCTCATTTCCTTACCTGGTTTAGAGTCTGGTAAATGCTGAAACCTCATCTGTTAATTGGACAAGTGAAGCAAATGTTAGTTGCCAGCACTGTCCTAGCAGCCATTTACAAATGGTTCAATGTTTCAGAGGAAAATGGGGTCTCAAGGCCACTTAGTTCATGCAGCCCCTCCCATCAGTGAATCTCTTCATCAGGGCACAGTTCTCTGCCTGACTGAATGTTTTTTGTGGCTCAGAAAACTGAGACAAGGGGCTGGAGAGATGGTTTTGTGGTTAAGGGCACTTTGTGTTCAATTATAGCTGCTTGTAATTCTAGCCTCAAGGGATATGATGCTCTCTTGGCATGGTAGGATGTGCTTGTAACCCCAACAGTACACAGACAGACAGGAGGACCTCTGATGTCTGCTGGGTAGCCACCCTAGCCCACTTGATAAGTTCCAGCCATAAAGAGCCCTGCCTCAGAGAAAAGGTGAGAGGTGCCTGTGGCATGACACCTGAGATTGTCAACAGGCCTTCATATACACCCACACACATGTACACATGAAAAATTCCCTGAGAAAAAGTGAAAGCAAACAACATCAAAAATAAAAACCAGAGACTGGAGAGATGGTTCAGTGGTTAAGAGCACTCTTTCAAAGGACCTGGGTTCAATTCCCAATACCCACTTTGTGGTTCACAACTATCTGTAACTCCAGTTCCAGGGAATCTGGCATCTTCACACAGAGACACATGTAGACAAAAACCTAATGTACATAATAAATAAATAAATAAATAAATCTTTAAACAAATAAACAACTAACCTCCCCACCAAATCCACCCCAAATTAGAAACCTCTGAAACAAAACCAAATAAAAATTAAAGTTCTTCCTTTCTTTCATCATTTTATATCTAGTATCTATAAAAGTGTTGCTGGGTTTTTGCATTTGTTTTTTTCTCTAATATACAAATTATTTTCCCAGGATTCTAGACTTTGAAATCATTGGGTTTGTTTGTTTTTTAAAACACTGTCGGCCTGTATCCTATGCTGGTCTTGAACTTGTGTGGCTGAGGATGACTCTGATCTTCCTATTTCCATGTCCCGAGTGTTGGGGCTGAACTTCTGTTTCAGGTGGGGAGGATTTTTTTAGAAGTGTCTCAATATGTAGCTCAGGCTGATCCTGAACTCCTGCCTCAGTCTCTTGAGTGTTGGGTTTACAAGCTACCATATCTATTATGAACTTTTATCATTGACTTTTATTTCTAAAGAGTCTTTGGGAATGTGTTCTCTCTTACTCATTTGGAAGGCAGCAATGCCAACCACTACACCATCAATGACCTCTTACTCATTTGTCTTCCAATTTTCAAAAATGTACTGAGCTGAAGAGATGGCTCAAGTAAAAGTACTTGCCATGAAAATCTGAGGACTTGAGTTCAGATCCTTAGAACCCATATAAAGTTAGACTCAGTACATGTGTCTATAGTTTCTATAATTGTCCCATTGCTCTTATGGTGAGATGGGAAGCTGGGGCAAGAGGATTCTCCAGTTCTTGGGCCAGCTAGCCTGGCATACTCGGGGTGAACAACCACAGATGCTCTCTCAAGCAAGATGGAAGGTGAAGACCAAGTTCTGAGTTTGTCCTCTAACCATCACAGGCACACTCACATACATGTACACAGACACACACAGACAGACAGACACACACACACACACAGAGAGAGAGAGAGAGAGAGAGAGAGAGAGAGAGAGAGAGAGAGAGAGAGAGGGAGGGAGGGAGAATACACTGGACAGTTTGCTTAGATTTTGGTGATATGACAACAGACAGATTGTCCTTGTCTACCAACAGCTTAAAAATGATGGAAATTAATTAGTAGTCTCCCCTTTCTGTTGATCTATTCATTCAGCCAACAAATAATTACTATGTACTAATACATACCAGGTATTTTGTAGGCTCTGAAGATGTAGAAATTGAATAGGTCAACACATCTCTGCTTCCATGAAGTTTGTTTTTCAGTGGGAGACAGTAACAAAGAAGATGATATTTTCATGCAGTTAACAGAATAGACTGGCATGCTAGAGAACCACTGAAATCTGTGTGGGTGGAGCTGCTTTAGCAGGCTAGTTGTGGAAGGTGTGGTGAAGAAGTAACAGCTGAACTAAAGCTGATTCTGACTGAATGTAAGAGAGACTAAACGACAACAGAGGCATGGAGCATGACTTTTGATAGTTCTGTTACACCAAATAGTCTGGAACCAAGCATCCTTCCTTCCTTCCTTCCTTCCTTCCTTCCTTCCTTCCTTCCTTCCTTCCTTCCTCTCTCTCTCTCTCTCTCTCTCTCTCTCTCTCTCTCTCTCTCTCTCTCTTTCTTCTTTCTTTCTTTCTTGATAGTTCTGCTGTATAGCCCAGGCTGTCCTTCAGCTGGAGATCTTTCAGTCTTCCAAGTTCTAGTTATGTGCCACCATGTTCAGTTTTCCTTTGCTTTCTTTATTCACCCAGAGTTGCTTGTGAAAAGGGTGGTGGAAGCTTTAAGATGCTCAATTTCATGCAGGGCTTTTAGCTGAGGAGGATATTGCCCTTAAACATCAATGCTAGTCATACAGTGTAAATCTCAGGAAAGGGTTGCTAGACAGAGGGTAAGGTTGCCTTTGTCTCTGGCTTCTTGTCTCATGTGATTTCTTCCTTGATGTACACTCTCACTAG